TTGAACCCTACTCTACCACTTAGTGGTTTGAGACAACTCATGTGCTGACTCATACAATGGGGATAGCAGCAGCATCTACCATCTCAGGTTACCGTGATTCTAAATGAAATGATTCCTACAAACCAGCCAGGAGGCATTCAATATAGCTGCCTTTAATAAGAGGAAGCACTCATTCCCTGAGACACAGTTTTAAGAAATGCAGTATCTACTTGTTTATTGTGTCTTTACAGTCCAGTCGCACGTACTCTTCTAAAGAAAAACAATCATACCAAGTATGATGTATGTACCAAGTACAGGAATGTACAACTAAAATGTAAGCAATACCAAAGATTTTTAAGATCAAAATTTTATGGTAATGCAGAAATGTGCCAAGATCCTTAGCTCCTGGTATGTTCAATCAATCTCTCCTCTAAAACTGACATACTTCAGGGAATAACAGTTAAAAAGGGCAGACACTGCTCAGCAGCCAAGACACGATCCCTCCACAGTTTCTGTCTTTGGCTACCTGGGTGTGGTATGGCAGAGCATGACAATGGGCAGGCTGCTGCCACCACCAAGTGGTGGGAGCCCAGGAAAGGTGTGCTGTCCAGCCCCAAGGCTGCCTAAGCAGTCACCACCCTCAGAGCTGGTATGGTGTAACACGCATAAGACTGGTGTGAGAAGAAGCCCCTTTTAATCAGTTACCTTGAAAACCTGAGTGAGCATACCCCAAATCCTCATCCTCATCTTCTGGAGTTTTAGTGGGGTAAAGGAATCACATTATAGGGGAAGACTTGTAAGACCCAGGCAACAAATCATGTTTTCCACAAGAAGGAAATGAGAGACCCCCTTAGAAACACTTGGTGGGTCATGAAGTTGCACAGTAGGCAATATTTTCCAACTGTGCTCACCAAACGCTAAATTCTCAGTAACTTCAACCCATTGTACCTGAACCTACATTGGCCATGACAGTGGCGAATTTGGCTTAGTCTTACATACTATCATCACTCATTAATTGAATGAGGTGATGTATAGGCAAACTATTGCTATTATGGTTTCTGCATTGAGCACCACTTTGACCTGAGTACACCACACTGCCTTCCACTGTGCCTGCCAACTGGAGCCATGCCAAAACCACACAGCTTCTCCACTGCTGGTCCCAGTGGAAGAGCTAGGCGAACCTGGGAGCATCTGAAAGGGCCACCTGACCCCGGATTCAGGCCAGGGGAAGTGACTCCTAAGCTAAGGTCCGAAGGTCTTGAACAGTGAGGGTGTGGTGCCAGGCTAGTTGGTTATATCACCCTCTGCATTCCCCTGGCAACTGGGGGTTTACCATCAACCCTAGTTTGCCCCAAATAGTCTGTTTATCTGTTACTCTGACCTCATTAGCAGTGCCCACTTTTTTGACAGTAGCTAGCTAGGACAAGCAGGCAGTGACTTCAGTCCTGTTCCTGGCAGTGCCTGGATTACCATGTCTGGCTCCTCCACGTGATTCAGCTTCCAAGGAGTTTGGGCTCCCATCTTCCCTTTGTATCCAACACATGGGCTGAATTTCCTTCAGTACCCAATGACACTTGAACTTCTCCCTACTGCTAAACAGGTTGAGCAGCACAGTCATTCAATAAAATCATCTGAAATCAGAATGGAAAGAAAATAGAAGAGATAATGATGGAAACCTAGTCCTACATTTCACTAGCCACATGACTTTCTGACTCTCATGTTTTCACCTGAAAGATGGGGTAACAGCAGATTCTTCAGAGGGTGGTGTACAGAAAGCACAACTCCAACCACTGCAGCACACCAGGGCATACAGTAAGCACGCTGCAAGCAGCAGCACTGCTGAAGACAATGACGCCACCTCCTGCTCTTGGAACCCTAACCTGCTGTAAAAACTTCAAGCCAACACTGAGCAAGCACCCAACAGGGATTCAACAAGTATGCACTAAATGAACACATAATTTCATGCTAGGGTTTGGCAGCAGACCAGGATCTTGGATTACAAGATGTATTAATCAAAATTACAACTTAGAATTGGAAAGTTTTGATTCCACTAAGTCCAGTTTGAGTAATTGCAGTTTAAGAAAAAAAATTTCTTCTTACACCCATCAAGTGCAGGACAGAGAACACAGCAGCACTGTGTGGCTATATCCTGGACGTGGACATGAACAGCTTTCAAACCTCACCCTGTGATAACTAGACCCATTGAATATGTCAGCTCTTACAAGTGCGGGCCAACTCAGATATCTGGGTCCATCTCTCACTCTGAATTGTCAGTCTTTGTGATTAATGTATATAAAGTAGAAAGGTCTGATTGTGTCAGCAGTTTTCATGACCCCCAATTACAATACCCCCTTTGCAGTATATCCTTGTTCCCAACATTTGGAATGAATTAAAACTAAACTTCCAGATGTTTAAACTACTACTGTAAATTTAAACTCATTAAAAAGGGGGCAGATTTACTACTCCTGCTTCATTTTGAAGCCTGTTGTTCACCCTGTCTACATAATTTATGAAACCAAATACAGTGGCAGGTAGTGGAGCCTATTTATACAGCATTCATGGTGAGAAATAAAGCACTTAAAAAATGCCTGGAAATTAATTTTGCACGACCTATAGATCACATTCTTTGTTGTTTCTAAGCTAGTAATTGTTTCCTGAAACTGATCTAGTAGATATTTTTATGCTAATCTGTACTAAAAATGACTTTGCTTTTTCTGGCCACAAAAAGCTGGCAATGGAAGAACATTTGATTATGGCAGGAAGACAGCTGCACCCACTCTGGTGAAATTAATGAACCTGGACCTACAGTCCTTTGTGGTAGTGTTCTGGCAGCCCAACAAAGGTGGCAGCATTTCTACACCCAGTTTGTGACGGCTCAGGAGTTCCAGGCTCCAGTCATTTATACATATATTTGCAAGGAACTCATGTCGACTATAATGAGTGGATTTTAGATGCTGCATTGAAAGCTGGCAACGGATAAAACAAAAACATAAAAGAAACCTATTCCCAGAGCAAACATTTCTTTCACAAACCTTAAGAATGAAGTGGCTTTCATAATCAATTTTAAAATGAAGGATTAGAATGAACTACCAGGCTCTGGCACTTACTAGCTACATAATTTGAGGTGATTAGTTTTCTTCTGTGGGATTGACTTATCAACTGAAAAATGGGACTAATATCTATTTCAGCTTTTCTGAAAACTTGAATGAGATAACCAACGGACTCTGTCAACTCTCACATATCACATGAATGTTAAACTTAAAAAGTAGCTGCCCCTTAAATCAAACAAAAATAAACCAAATCCAACTAAAGTTACTGCAGAGGAACAGGCCTCAAAAGAAGCACTAGCTCAACTCCTAGCAATTTTTCTGAAAGTTACATAAAATTATTTATCAAGAATGTTCTCATTTTACAAGTACCAGATCCTGCATTAGGTTTCAACTGCGTAACTTACTCTTCAAAAATAAGTATACCAAAAACAAAAACAAAAAATCCTCCAATTATATATATGCTAATTCTTCAATGTAGTTCTTTGTGTATTTTACAAGTTGTTCAGATGTGATACGAACCTTATTTTAACTACACAAGGTTTTAGGGGTCATTTATGTCAATTTCCTTTAATCTTGATAATATGATTTAGTGATTTATAAGGTACGTGTTACATAAAGTACAATCATGGTCTTGTGGACCAGCTCTAGGCTGTTAAGTTTTTAGTTAAAATACATATCCAGTATTGACAGCACCTAGCCCAGAAGCCTGGCTCAGAGCAGGCACTCAGCTACTGTTTGTGGAGTAAACAGACACTGCACTACCATTCCCTAATTATCTAATCTTGTGAACCTCTGTTTCATTGATGAGACTATGAATACTGTGGACTCAACCTACCAAAGACCAGTGTGAAAAAGTCTAAACAGAAAGTGTTAAGCCTTTTATAGATTTATCAGCTTTAGGGAGTGTACAAAAATAATTTAAAAAAAATAAGCTGATGAGCTCTTCACCAAACACTTCTTCTGGATGTTATTATTGTGGCAGACTGAAAATGGGGCCAACTTCCCAACTCCTTCAAACAGAGGAATTCATTTCTTTGTTCCTCAGATCTATGTGGGGCAAGTAACTTGCCATGACGAAAGCAATGTGATGAAATGAGTTCTTAAGCACAGGCTTTGAAGCAGTTGTCTTGCTTTTTTTGGCACTACTCTTAGGATGGCCATGTGATAAGGCCAAGGAAAAGGATGACAGGAGACCCAGCCATCCCATTTAGTCACCAGCCAATCTGACAGGGGAATGCAGAAAGCCCAGATTAGCAAAAGAATCACTCAGTCAACCTATAAAACTGGTAAACAACTAGTAAATGACAGTTTCTTTCAGCTACTGAGTTATGGGATGTTCCAAGGTCACTGATGATAAATTACCTAACCATCAAAAGCACAACTTTATGGCATATTTTATCATGACCCAACCCCAGGTTAATTACCTGCCAAGGTCACACCACTTTGAAGGGCACTGAGAACTGCACGCAGGTAATGAAAGGTCAGCTCTGTCATTCTGCTGTTAAGAACTTGATCAGTTTTTTCTGTCAATGACGGCATCATCTCTCTATTTTTTTGATAATATGCATGTGTCTTCTTTTGACACATCCGTTGGGCCTGTCTATGACTGGAAGATGCAGTGCTGCCTATCATTAAGGGCTGGCCCGCCAGCAAACACCCTGTGAAGCTTCTGAGGTTCAAACAGCACTAACTTACTACAACATAAGTTAATTCAACGAAAGCTCTGCAATTCAATTCATCAACTGACATAAACCAGGACAATTTATATCAGTGCATATACACAATATTAAAAAAAAAACTGTCTTACAACTAGTAATTTCTTAATTAAAATGTTTTTCTATATCTCAAGTAGTAAACCACACACCAAAAATAAAACAACTTGCTCTGGAAGCTGCTACCCTCATATTTCTAAAGAATTTGTCACAACTGTTTGACCCCACCAAAACATATTTAAAAATTTAAACACTTTTAAACAAAATTCACATTTTATTTAGATTGAAATAAACTATACAAAATTGATTTTCTTCACCAAAAATAATAGCAATATTTTCTGTATTATTTCTAGATAAACCACAAAACATTTCCTTTTGTAGGTTTTCCAGGTTTTGCTTATAAATCAAGACAAAGCAGCAGTCATGGAAAAAGAGGAAAAGTCAGCTTTCAGTATCCACGACCCCTGGCCCTGTCTTAAAATTAAACACAAATGTTCAACATAAACCTGCTGAGATGTAGGCTCAACAAAGGAATGTAAACAGCAACATCTAGATGTGGAATGACATGGGCAGGGCTTTCCACTGCTCACTTACTCCTTTAGGTACATTTGATCAACACAAATTGATACTGAAATCCTCATGTGGGGAGATCACTAACTTCCCTCTGGTAATTATCCATTACGGATTTTTAACACCTGTTAGTCAAAACTCCTAGTAGTCTAAAAGTCAATCGTGGGCTTCATTGCAAATCTCTTAAAATCTATTCCTTTCCCCACACCTCCTCAATATTTATCTCTTCAAAACATTACTAACTTAAACCTGACAAATGGATCCATAGTAATAAATGTCTAAAATGACTCAGCTATTTCCAGTGTGCCACCACCAGACACCCAGAAGTGGAACACGGCACTTCCAAAGCTGCTTTCTGGAAGAACTGAGAGGTTGTCCAAGCACAGGAGTTTTAACAGCAGCCATTTTAATTAGGGAGATTATCGATGGCTAATGTATTCAATGGGAGGCCTATAGGCAGATATTCATCGATTAATTGGCCTACATTTATCAAGTGTAAGAGAAAGTATATTTTTAAAGTCTCTAAATATTTTCAACGGGTTCTGAATTATCTGTAGGAAGCTCTGACTTAGTTGTATAGAGTTTTATGTAAGTATCCACCATTAAGTCTAGATCATGTTTTATATCAAAATTTATATTAAGCAAAGCCAAGTTGCTTGACCTTTGGTCTGTTAAAGTGTTCCTCAAGTATGCTTTGAGACGCTTTCGTCCATTTTCATAGCGCTCATTCTCAACCTTCATCACAGGAAGTATACACAGCACCTTCAGTAAGGCATACACATTAGGAAAAAACTTGATGTCAGGCAGATGGAGGGCCTCATAAATGGTGGACGGAAGCTCTATATCTTTGCCTCTGTGCTTCCACTTGATTCTCCAACAATGAAGCTCAGCAGAGAGTGTGTCAGGATTGGGTAAGTCACTTCTGTACATGTCAGCATGGTGCTCCTCTGATGTGTTGAATTTGAGTTGCCCCATGACCGAGGGTACCAGAGATAAGCATTTAAGAGCTTTGAGGTGCTGCTCGGAGAATATATCTTTAAGCTCCTGAATAATGTGCTCCACCGTTGGAACACTTAGGGTTTCTTTATAGTAACTTTCGGAACTTAGTTGAGACTCCAAGTTGCCTTGCTGTGCCCTGCGGAATTTCCCAGGGAGTTTCATCTGAATATCAAGCTTGGTTGCCAAGTTTGTAGCTTCCTCAAACCAGAATTCATGATACACTTCAATATTTTCCATTACTTCGTTCAGTGAATGCAGGACTGCCGTCAAGCTACTGGCTGCAAAGAAGACATCAGAAGTTTGGCCCTGGAGATTTTTCCCAAAGGCTCTTGTGAAAGATAAGACATTTTTTAGAACAACTATGGTAACAATGAAATCAAAATCTGTGACTGCACTACAGAGTACAAATGCTCGGCCAGCTACATAGTTATTCCATCTAATATTTGTATCACTATTTATCCCATCTAAACATAAAACAAGTGCTTGCAGAAGGTCCACAAGAATTTCAAAAACATCATGCCTGACTGTCCACTGAGAATGGCAAATTTCCTTCAGCTCTTTGCCTCTTTCTTCATTATTTTGAAAAAGAACGGAAATTACATTGTCAAGTTCTAGCAGCAGCTGTGGTGATCGATGGAAAAAAGAACAGACTTCCTCAATTGTTCCCAATGCAACAGATACTCCCATAACAGGCACTGATTTTGCCAACCACATATTTAAGGCACAGGAAGAACAGAGTGTGTAGACAGCTTGGGGATATTTCTCTAAAAGTCTAGAAGCAACAACTTTCATCTTGGAAGAAAATCCACTGGACACAATATAAGCCTGGCCACGGCAATATTCCATATTTAGCCCCCACTTCTCAGTTATCGTAGTGTGAAATTTCACAGCCAAAATCTCTGCATCAGCTTCGTAAGGCAGGAAGCCCACAAATTCCTCTCTCAGGTTGTGAGATTCATCTACGAACCTCACCAACACGGGCAGGTGCTCTTCTCCTGCTATGTCTACTACGTCATCGGTGATAATGGAGAAGAAGTGAGAGTCTCTCACTTCCCTGAGCGTTTCTTCGCGAATGCAGCTCTCACAGATCTCCAGCATCTGCTTCTGCTGTGTCTTGGAACAGAACAGTGTGTTAACAGCTGTGGTCTCAAAGCGCTTCCTCAGGACTTCTTCGCCAGAATTTATCCGGCACTCCAGCAGAGCTTGAAAGTTATCAGGAGTAAAGAGACCTTCTGGGATTTCATCAGCTTCATGGCCATCCAGAGGTATGTTTTGTTTGCCCATAAGAATCAAAATTTCAAACAAAGACTTTAAATATTCCTTGTTTTCCTTCTCCTCAAGAGTTAAAGGTAAAATGTCTTCATCTTGCTCATCGCCCCCTTCTTGTGCACTGGGGTTCTGAGCATTGCTGTTGTTTGTTTCTTTATGCCTTTGTTCTTGTTCAGAAGTTTCATCAACTGGAAAACAGAATTAATTTGATAAGCAGGGTCATGAAGAATCATACTGGAAAGCAATTTGATTGGCTAAATATTTAAAATTCACAAACTCATTCATTCAACATCCACAGGGCAACTACTGGACCACAGACTAGGATGTAAAGATTACAACAAAGTATACTCTAGTGGGAGGCAAACACTGCCAACAGACCCCCTCTAATCCTGTGCTGTCATGAAAGAGAAGCAACTGTTTATAAGGTGGTTCATCTTACACAAAATAAATGCACCAAGGGAGAACTCAAAACTATGTACCGTGTTTGGCGTTTCACTTTATTCTTTGTTCAGGTGGGTGACAAGTTTGACAAAGGGAGGCAGAAAGTAACTTGTTCAAGGTCACAGACATGGTTAGCAGGATGGAAGAGAAATCCAAGCTCATCTTGCTGGCTGGTTCATCCTGCTGCTACTTCTATCAAATGATTAAACCTTACCCTTTTATGGAGGATGAAACAGCTATCCAAACCAATGTGATATAAAGTAGTTCACATAATATTTGGGTCTAGCATTAAAAACTTTAGCCTAAACCTCTTCCCTCCTAGCTCAATGTAAAACCGAGGACTTACAAGTAAAGCATCCCACCCATCATACAGGTGTTCCTGGTAGAAGAACTCCAATCTGAGGACTGGTTAGAACCTAGTTCTTGGAACACAAAACTATGACATCAATGCGGAAAGCTGTGCAGTATGGGGCAAGGGATCACAGCAGAAAAAGACTCAGAACAAAGTTACATTTGATGATGACAGAGGTAAGGAGGACACCAACAGGCTGTTGAAATTCTCCAGCAAAAGCACCATTAAGGTGCAACTGGAAAGACAGCTGTCCTCTTATGAAGCAAGATCTAGTCAGACCAGAGCCTGTGTAAGCTATGCTTCCATGCATCCCAGGCCCTTCAACTCAGGCAGAGAAGACTCTGCCCTCAACTCTCAACTAAAATGTAATCCCCATCCATCACATATATTACAGAGCAGCAGTTCTGTATGACGTGGGTCTTCCTAAGCTGAAAGCAAGAGGTTACCCTAGACATTCCCTGACTGCCGTCTCCCACCCTCTCCTTTCCTCCCTCCTTTTTCCACCTCTCCCCTCCATTACTGCTCTACTTCCAAACAACAAATACTAATTCTACCTGTTTTCATATTTTCAAGCTCACTAAAGCACAAGCAATATAAAGTGAACATTAAGTCTCTCTCTGGGGGCACCTTTCCAGACATAGGTAAATGGCCTTGTGGCCCTCCAGTGATACCTTCTTTAATCCAACAGAGTGCTCTACACTCAGGAAACTGGATCAACAGTACCTCCTTCCTACCAATCTCAGTGGGTTCCTACTGTCAATACCTCACAAAGATGGGAGTAGGCATCATGGCATATCAGGTTAAACAGTTGCCTGTAATGCTGACATCCTTTATAAGTACCAGTTCAAGTCCCTGCTGTTCTGCTTTTAATCCAGCTCTCTGATGTGCCCGAGAAGGCAGTCGAAGATGAACCAGAAACCTGGGCCATTGTCATCCAGGTGGGAGACCCAGATTGAGCTCTGGGCTCCTGTCTTCAGCCTGGCCCAGCACTGGCATTGTTATTTGAGAAGTGAGCAAACAAATGGAAAATAACTGTCTCTCTATTGGTAACTCTGCCTTTCAGATAGATAGATAGATACACTTAAAAAAATGATTGATAATAGCAATAAGAGGTTCTGAAGCACAAGGAGCAGTAGCAATCAGCTGACAGGGACAAGTGCAGCTCCAAGGTCTCCTGTACCAAGGCTCAGGCATTGGCTCTGTGGACAGGCCGCTGTGAGCACCATGATCAATGCTGCACAGGGCTCCCCAATGTGGATTCCTTCCACATTTACCAAGAGCATATTCTAGCCCACAAATTGGGTGGATGGAGACTTAGTGCCTGTCCTTATTGCTGTCACTCCTTTCCTACAATAGGGAAAGGCTCCTATTTGTGAGCCTGATCCTGCTCTAATGGCAACCATCTTGAGGGGGTGGCACAGCAGCACTCAGTAAGAACAAACTGAACTAAGACTTCAGCTTCACAGACAATTTCAGACTACAGAACAAGAGCTGACCACATTCTTCCAACCATTCTCAAAGCAGATTTTGGACATAAAACATATTTATTTGTCCTTACCAGGTCAAGGCCTTTTTAAAAGGCATTCAGAAGTTGAGTCATTAACATTATCACTTACTTTTTTTCTGTTTCAGTGTCCTGATTTCATCTTCGCTCTAAATGACAAGAAAAAACAAGCCATCTTTAAGAGAACTGACCTCCACTGTGTATTGCTTCAGCTTCACAAATAATCTGTCTATTTTCAGATAAATTTAGTCCCCTTCCAAGAGCAGAAACTCTTTATATGGAACACATTCTTCACAAAGACAGATGATGACAAAACCAAAACAATAATTTGCTATTGACTCCAATATTATAATAAAGGAGCAAGTACATCATTAATTTAGTTCCTCCCTAATTCATCATAATTTGTGTTACATGTGTTTACTGGCTAAGAAAAGCATGCGAGTATGCCATGACACTTGGCAGTTAAATTCAAGAAGATGTAAATCATTCACTATCCATCCCTGGAAATGTCACATAGCTGGCAGGTTACTGAACCCCAGACCTTAACCAGAAATAAAGAGCAATCCTTGGGAGCAGAGGGCAACAAGATGCCAGTACAGGGACCCTCTGTGATACTGACACCATAACCACCATCTCCCTGGTTACTTGTCTGTGGTAGGAGAGCAACAAAGCCATGATAGTTGGGCCAACTGGACATGGTGCTCAGTCTACACTATCTTCATCCCGTAAGCAGGCAGATCTGGAAGGGCATGCTCTAAGATATGAGGTTCCCTGAGCGACATGGCACAGAGAAGTCATGGCTACACACCAGGAAGTGGCTGAGTTTCTCACCTTTGTTACATATTATTACTAAAATCAAAAAGACACACAAAAAAACAAATGACATGGAAGACTGTCTTGCCAGTCTTCATCTGTGAGAAGAAACAGAAATAAACGCAGGGGAAAACATGTATAAAGAAATAAAAAATGAATTTAAATGCAAATCTTCATATGTACAGTGGTATAAACAGTATAGATCAGAAAACCAAATATCACATCTACATATAGTTTAACAAAGCTTAAAATGTCAACTATAAAGAAAACATTCTAGGGGCCAGCGCTGTGGTATAGCAAGTAAAGCTTCTACTTGTGGTGCTGGCATCCCATATGGAAATCAGTTCAAGATCTGGTTGCTCTACTTCCAATCTGGTGCCCAGGAAAGTAACAGAGAATGGTCCAAATGGTTGGCCCCTGCACACATGTGGAGATCCAGAAGTTCCTGGCTCCTGGCTTTTCTGTCTCTCCTCTCTGTAAATCAGATTTTCCAATAAAAACAAATAAATCTTAAAAAAAAAAGTTCTACAAAACTGCTGAAAACCAGACGTATACTCTACATTAACAAGAATTATAACGTATTTGTAGTAATCTAAAGAAAAATGCACACATTTTTAAAAAGAACTGCAACAACCATCCCACCCCCCGCCCCCAAAAAAAGAGGGTCAGGAACGGTAGCCTAGGGGCTAAAGTCCTCGCCTTGAATGCGCTGGAATCCCATATGGGCGTCAGTTCTAACCCAGCTCCCTGCTTGTGGCCTGGGAAAGTAGTCAAGGACAACCCAAAGCCTTGGGACCCTGCACCTGTATGGGAGACCTGGAAGAGACTCTGGGCTCCTGGCTTCAGATTGGCACAGCTCCGGCCACTGCGGCCGCTTGAGGAGTGAATCAGAGGACAGAAGACCTTCCTCTCTGTCTCTCCTCCTGTCTGTGTATCTGGCTTTCAAATAAAATAAATCTTAAAAAAAAAAAGAAGAGAAAAGAAAAAGAACAACCCTTAAATTTTATTTGTTTGGAAGGCCAAAAGACAAAAATAGAGATCTATTCACTGGCTCACTCCCCAAGTGCCAAGAATAAATATATGAAACTGGGCTGGGGCCAACACGGAGCCAAGAACTCAAACCAGGTTTTCCATATAGGTGGTAAAAGCTCAAACACTTAAGGCATGCTGCCTCCTAGGGGACACAGCAGGAGAATGCTAAATTGCCAGCTGAATAAGGACTTGAACCTGGAAAGGTACTCTGATATAGAATGGGGGGATCCAATGTCTGACCCCAAATTTTTACTTTCTTTGCTCCTTAACATATTTAAGGAACAAGTATTCAGTTTTGTGAATGACAGCTGTTAAGTGATTGCAATTTTTTTCTTATTCACAGACGCAATGAATATTAGAAAAATATTAAGTAAAAAAAAAATTATAGTAAAAAAAATTATAGCAAAAATCCCAACAGGATTTCCAATTTATCCTAACAGATTGTCAAACTTATGTATGAAGGAACAAAGCCCATATATAGTTCTAAGTTTTGAAAAAGAATAAAACACTCTCTGAAAATAAATTACAAAGCCACAGTAATGAAACTAGTATGGCACAGATGTAAATAGACAAAATCACTCAGTGGATTCAATAGTGCTCCCAGAAAATGCCTTGCATATAACGCCAAGAGGTGGCATTTTATAGCTCTGGAGTTGAAAAAAATGAAACAATTAACAGACTATGTGGAGAAAACTAGTTTCTATAAGGGGAAAAATAAAGACAGATCACTGGTAGATACCAGGCAAGATGTTAAGGATAAAAAGTAAACATAGGGCACAGTGCAAACAGCTCAGTGGTCAAATTCTTGCCTTGCACATGCCAGGATCCCTGGCTGCTCCATTTCCCATACAATTCCCTGCTTGTGACCTGGGAAAGCAGCAGAGGATGGCCAAAAGCCTAGGGACTTTGCAGTTGCATGGGAAACCTGGAAGAAGCTCTTGACTTCTAGCTTTAAATTGGTTCAGCTCCATGCATTGCAGCCATTTGGGGGAAGGAATCAGTGGATGGAAGATCTGTCTCGCCTCTCCATAAATCTTATCTACGTTTCCAATAAGAATAAATGTTAAAAAAATAAATTTTAAAAACCAGAAGAACTGGGCCCAGCGCCGTGGCCTAGCAGCTAAAGTCCTCGCCTTGAACGCACCGGGATCCCTTATGGCAGCTGGTTCTAATCCTGGCAGCTCCTGCTTGTGGCCTGGGAAAGCAGTCGAGGACGGCCCAAAGCCTTGGGACCCTGCACCCGTGTGGGAGACCTGGAAGAAGTTCCTGGATCCTGGCTTCAGATCGGCATAGTATCGACCATTGTGGTCACTTGGGGAGTGAATCACCGGATGGAAGATCTTCCTCTCTGTCTCTCCTCCTCTCTGTATATCTGACTTTCCAATAAATAAATAAACCTTAAAAAAAAAAAAACAACAGAAGAATTTAACAAAAATTAGATAATTGATTAAAAACACAGACTGAGTTGATATGACATTTTAAATACACTAGCATGGATACTAACAAATAGAGGAGGAATGGAAATATTAAGAAAATAGAAGGGCCTTGCTAATGGCAAAAACAATAGAAAGCCATGGACTGAAAAGTCTGAATAATTTAATTTTGTTCATAAAACCAACAAAATATAGCTAGGTTTCAATCAACAGGACTGAAGGATATCAAAAGAAAAAAAAAGCATGCATTAATTACGTCATATATGCAGACTTTAAAATTGAGCAAGCTGCCAGTATTTAACAGTGATAGAATCTTCATGCCTAAACATTTATGCATTTCCTCTTTGCATTCACTTCCTATTATGCTACCTTTGAAACAGAGTTAACTGGATTAATTTAACATAAAAACTGATTTCACAGTACTAAAGGGCAGGAAAGCTGAAAGTGTATAGACCTACCAATTCTTTTATTCGTTTTCTGTGTCTACTGTGAGGATTGTTCAAATGACTGGTAAGATCAAATATTGTTGGTATTGCATTGTCTCGAAGAACCGTTCTATAAGGACTCTGAAAAAGAAAAGCGTCAATTCAGAGATAGCCTTTCAGAATGTATTACATATAAAATTTTATGTTAATGGTTTCCCCAGTATTTCTTCAATTTCACCTCTACAATATGCAGAGTGGCAGAATTTGATATTAGTTCAGGGTAATCTATTTTTATATTTGCCTGTTTGGTAATCTTATTACAAATTAAGGCATCAACTGACGGCAGGTATAAAAAATGTATTTGTATTTTATATAACCATTTCTAGTTTAGTCCCTCAGCTATTTTATATGTCTTGTCCTCCCATGAGTCCACCAAAGCTACAAGAAACACAAATCTACCAAATATTCTATCCACCTGTAAGTCCTATAAAACGGTTTCCCTCCTTTACCTGCTGTTCATCACATATCTGCTAATACAAGCATTTTTGAAAAGCATCAAGGCACAATGTAAATATTGAACTTGGACCCAGTAGACTTACAAACTAGTCCAAGCTTCCAGTGACTCACTAAGAGGCCCTGGCTAAATTACTTTCCCCTTTTGGATCCTAGTTTCCTCGTCTAAGTAAATTTAAGGTATTGAACTAGATTAACATTTCCTCAAATTAAATCACTTACATATCAATGATTATTACACTTGCCATTTCAGTTATACCATCTGTACTTTTACAAATCTGTTTTTTAAACATTATCTTAAGTAATTCAAAACAACCATTTGATGGGTTATATTTTACATTTTAACACAAGATATAACTTCTAAACTAAAAATGGATTCATATTTCACTTGAAATCATCTCTCACATGATATACACGTAGGTATTTTAAATTTCTTTTCCAGGTTCTAATGACCTTAATTGGAAGATGATCCTTCTCTATACTACTTTTTAACACAATTCAACCTGGCTGGAAGCTGGGAAGGTCCTCAGATGATGCCAGTCTTCCACAGTAAGCCCAGCAGGCTGGTAAGGACAAGAGTTTATGAAGAGGGAGAGTGACAGATAAATAACTGCCATTACATTCCCCCCAGTTAATTCAAACAGTGCCTTTCATTTCTTGCTTGAATTTGCAATTATTAAGAAAAAATACAAGTAACATTTCAATCAAAAAAAGCCTTCTTGGGAGCAATGCTTAGCCTAAAGCTAACTATTAAGACATGTTCAAATGATATGCCAAAGAAACAATAAGTGCTTTCACCCAGGGAGGGAAGGCTAGCAAGAAATAAAGGAAGAACACAGATCACATGGAATATGCTATCCTGGGCTTTATCCAAGGAGTTGCTGAAACCCTTCAGGAAGAATTTCCATTTGGAATACTATTCAATCTCATGCAGCACAGAAAACACAAGCAGAAAGACTGACTGTTTAAAGACACTCAGCTTTGAGTGCTGGGCTAATGAGCCTGGATCTACCAAGGAGTCTAAATCAGGAATTGACTAGAGACACAATCATTCAAGAAAGCAAAAACGAAGACTCAAAGCTTCCCATGTTTATCACTGAGCAAATCCCCCCCCCCCCAAGCAGGCAGGCATACACACATACAGTCCACTCTTGATAGTGCACCAATTATTAGATGAGGGAATATTTAATGAATCCTTAAAATCAAAAAATAACTGAATTAGCTGTTTCCAAATAGAACAAAAATATTGTATATCAGAAAATAGAATTATTTGGATGACAAATATTGCCGGTTTACATATATTTATAAGTACACATGCCAAAAAGTTATATTCAATTCACATGTATGATCATTTTAATTCAGTATCAATAATTAATCTTTGCTGAATTAGGTTTGAACATACAGTGATGGTCTTACTCCCAGTATGAAACATAATAAAATATCTGGCTTCAGCTGAGCTAGCTAGCCATGAATGTTTACTGATGAGACATTAAATGCCAAACTAATAATGAAGCCGGAACTCGTAACATCTGGGTACACATATCAGATGGTCTAGTTTTTAATTGCAGCATCTACTTTCACATGGAGAGAAAGAACATGTTCTCACATATAATTTCTTCAAGACTGAAGAATCACTGAAAAATTTAAAAAACAAAACTAGCTCACCTTTCTGTTCTATGCTCTGACTAAAGAGTACAAAAGTGAACTAAATTTTAAACTTCTCACATTAATTTGGTTAGGATTATCTAATTAGAGGACCATATTTCTTATTAAAATAAAAGTGCAAAAATGCATATGGTTTATGAATTTCAAATAGTAATTTGGGATATTTTTACTAAATGTCAAGAACATAAAAATAGTTTGCCCTTTAAGTATATGAAACCTCTTAGTTTGATCACTATTACCTTCTTGACATAGAAAGGCAAAAATATCCCTCAAGATATTGTGATTAAACTGATGAACCGGAATTGGCTCACCTCCCAATGACTTCATAAGAATCTGCTTCAATTAATTTTGAGAAATAAAATAACCCAATCATTCTTTAGTTTGCTGATGCCTCTGCAAAATGTATCTGAAAAAAATACCAAAATAAATTGCTGCATAATAATTTATAGTGTACCTTCAAATCAAGTTATGCCTATCCTGACATCTAAGATGATACATTAGTTATACCTGAACAATTTTGAGAAATAAAATAACCCAATCATTCTTTAGTTTGCTGATGCCTCTGCAAAATGTATCTGAAAAAAATACCAAAATAAATTGCTGCATAATAATTTATAGTGTACCTTCAAATCAAGTTATGCCTATCCTGACATCTAAGATGATACATTAGTTATACCTGAACAAGAATATATTATTTTAACAAAACTTATTTCCTAACTAATTTTCCATCTGCCTCCTCTCAAGCAATTTTGCTCTATTTGTGTCTTTTGTGAATCACAGCAACAGCAGAATCACAAGAGACTAAAGGTCTTCAATCTCAGAAACCATTTGACTTAATCTCATTAGAAACTGGGGTCCAGAGAGGGAAAATGACTTGGCCAAGCTCACAGTTCACAGATCATAACAGGAAACTGCACAATACTGACAGGAATGTTTCTTCACCTTACCTGTATGATTTGTCTCCTGATCTCCTGTCTTATCTAGCAAATAAAAATGAAGAGTTGGGTTCCAAGAGAACATACAAAGACATGAAAACAAAGAGCTCCCTTCCTATATGATTTCACTCAAAAAAGGCTCTATAGAAACTGCTCCAAATAAAATCAACATTACCTTAAATAAGCATACACTTCCAAAGTCACCTAAGCTTTTCTGATCAATCACCTCTGCTAAGTGGAAACTGGGCATTAGGAACAGAAGGGTAAAAGAACCTAAACACAGCTCAGTCCAAATTGAATTCATCTTAAAGCGGCAGGATAGAGGCATATCTTTAAATTCACATTTCCAATTCATGAGACACAGCAAGAGAAAAGAAGGAAGAGGGGGGAGGGAGGGAGAGAAACTAACCCTTTTATTACTTACAGTTCTACAGATCATAGAGGTCTCAAAGTGTTTGGCACACAATCGATAATGTTTATTTAGTTGATCAGGTGTTTTATCTTCTAAGTCAGCTCTCCTACAATTCTCCACCCACTTCTGACATCTATATAAAAACCAAAATACAATTATGGTTCAATATTTACATTTCAGCATTCTGTTTCAAGGCAAATACATATTTTAAACAACAAATTCCTTGTGGTCCCCTCCTCCAAAATGTATTTTGGAATAGCTGATTATAACAAAATGAGAGTTGGAAGAGACCTTAGGAATCATTTGGCACAAATCCTTCAAGGAAAACATTAAGAAATAGCTTGTTTGAAGTCATGTACAGAATCAGGAGCTAAGCTAATAGTGGGTCTTCCAATTCCCAGGAAATTCTAGCATCAGAGACGACTTTAGTCAGCAGCAATACAAGCAAAAGGCACACAACCCAAAGGGTTAATACTCTAATATTCTCTTCAGAATGAGAACAACACCATCATTGTAGAAATCCACACTCAGATACTCTAGAAATGACTGGAATTTCTTATGGAAGCACCAAACTCATCTGTCCTACTGTAAACAGGATTTATTATTTACAAAGATATGTACAGCACAGTTTGTAAGTGCTATGTCTACACGCCCTAGTACAGAGAAAGTATTAGAAGACACTGAGCAAGACAAAGTTCATGCTCTCCCTGTGCTTAAATATTTACAAAGGGGGAAAAACCCTGCATAATAATGACAGACAATGCTTACCAAGTACTCATAAGCCAGGTGCTGTTTCAAGTCCTTTCCAAAGGACTTATTATCATAATACCCCCCTTGTGTAGACAAAGCCAGCCAAGCACGGGAATGAGAATGTTAAGCAATTTGCTGAAGGTCACAACTAATTTTACTCTCAATGAAGTTTTCTAACATCACAATAATTCTGCCACCACAATAAACTGTGCTACCAACTTGAGAACATAATTGTTTTTAAATGATGTAACATGGTATTTTCTTAGCACAACCATCTACTCCCCTATACTTCCTTCATTGAAAATATGGAAAAACCATAGTGAAACATTGTGATTTTCAAACTTAAACTAAAACCCCACCAAAACTGAACAGCACCTCATTCAACCACAAATTTTACTTCACAATAATACCAAAGTTGCCCTTACATAATCATGTTAAAAACATAGACACTTCTTGTTTTAAAATCTAAACATGAAATTAAAAAGCTGTCTCAAGGCCCAGCGCTATGGCGCAGTGGTTAAAGTCCTCGCCTCGCACGCCCGGGATTCCATGTGGGTGCCGGTTCTAACCCCGGCAGCTCTATTGCCCATCCAGCTCCCTGCCTGTGGCCTGGGAAAGCACTCGAGGACGGCCCAAAGCTTTGGGACCCTGCACCCGCGTGGGAGACCTGGAAGAGGCTCCTGGCTTCGGATCGGCATAGTATTGGCCCGTTGCGCTCACCTGGGGAGTGAATCATCGGACGGAAGATTTTCCTCTCTGTCTATCCTCTGTATATCCACCTTTCCAATAAAAATAAATAAATAAATAGATCTCTTTAAAAAAAGCTGTCTCAGCATAGAATAATTTGCCATATTATTCAGCTTTTAAAAATTCATCCCACATAGAGCACTACTGTCCATTTTATCTCTGAATTAAAGTGTAACAGCTTTCTGATAATAGCAGCAACTCAAATTCAATCACCAACATATTGGGCATCAGGCAGAGAACCTAAATAGCTTCTACAGAAAAACATCTTTTTTTTTTATTGGAAAGGCAGATACACAGAGAGGAAGAGAGACAGAGATGATCCTCCATCCAATGGTTCACTTCCCAAGCAGCCATAACAGCCAGAGCTGAGCCAATATGAAGCCTGGAGCTTAGTCCAGGTCTCCCATGCGCGTGCAGGGTCCCAAGGACAGTCCTGCGTTCCCAGGCCACATGCAGGGACTTGGATGGGAAGCAGGGCTGCCACGATCAGAACCAGTGCCTAGATGGGATGCTGGCGCGTTCAAGGCAAGGACTTTAGCTGCTAGACTATCACATCGGGCCCTATTATCATTTTATGATAGAGTTCCATAGGCCCTGGCATTTCCCTTACCCCCTCAAGCTTTTTACGTTTCAAACCTACTTACTAGCACAGTGGTGTCAGGAAGTGAAGCATCCGGGAGGTGCTTAGAACACAAGGGCAGGGGGCCTGGCGCGGTGGCGCAAGTGGTTAAGTCCTCGCCTTGCACGCCCGGGATCCCATATGGGCGCCGGTTCTAATCCTGGCAGTCCCGCTTCCCTTCCAGCTCCCCTGGGAAAGCAGTCGAGGACAGCCCAAAGCTTTGGGACCCTGCACCCGCGTGGGAGACCCGGAAGCCACCAGGCAGCCACCAAGGACAATCAAAGCATAGACAGTGGCTGCTGTTAAAAATTATTTTTGGGGTCAGTATTATGGCTGAACGGCCAAAAACTCACACTGCAAGTGCCAGGATTTCATATGTGTGTCAGTCAGTGTCCAAGCTGCTCCACTGCCAATCCACCTCCCTGCTTATGGCCAGGGAAAGCAGGAGGGAATGGCCCAAGTCCTTGGGACCCTGCACCCATGTGAAACCCTGAAGAAGCTCCTGACTTTGGATTGGCTCAGTTCCAGCTGTTGCTGCCACTTGGGGAGTGAACCAGCAGACATAGGATATTTCTGTCTCTCATTTTCTCTGTAAATCTGATCTGCCTTTCCAAAAAATAAAGAAGAATTAAATAAATCTTCAAATACAAAATAAATATTTATTTTTATTATATTTCTTTTATTTATTAGAAAGCAGAGAAACAGGTACCCCACCCACTGATTCACTCCCCAAATGCTACAAAAGTCTAGGACTGCGCCAGGTTAAGATAGGAGCCAGGAATTCCATCCAGGCTTCATGGGTGACAGAAAACCAAATAGATGAACCATCACGTTTTCCAGCTGTAGTTTTTCCTCTTCATGGCAGTATCCTAAGCTGAATTCATTACTTCACTTTTTTTAAAAGGCACATGAGGGGCAGGTATTGTGTTGTAGTCAAGACATTACTTTTTGATAGCACCTGCCTTTCCAATTAAAAAAATAAATAAATCATAAATAAAACAGATACATGCATAAAGACTGAAAGTACATGAGAGATTATTAAAGGTTAGAGAACAGCAAAAAGGGAAGTTCTTGCTTAACAGCCACAGTTTTGCTGGAGTAATGAAAACGTTTTAGAAATAGATAATGGCAATGGTTGCACAACACTAGGAATGTCATCGTGACACTGCACACTGACATTTAAAAATGGCTGGTGGGTGCGGTGTGGTCGAATGGTTAAGATGCCAGTTGGGATGTGTGCATTCCACAACAGAATGCCTGGGTTTGAATGCCAAGTCTCCCTTGCTGGGCTTCTCAGGCAGGTGGGAACTCTCTTCTTACTGTTCTTTGCTTCTTACACAAATAGAAATGACAGAAAGTTAAAATGTCAATTTTTCTTGTTTATTTTACCAAAATTTTAGAAATATAATATGCGTGGGCCCAGCACAAATAGCCTAGTGGCTAAAGTCCTCGCCTTGCATACGCCAGGATCCCATATTGGCAACAGTTCAAATCCTGGCTGTTCCACCCCCCTTCCAGCTCCCTGCTTGTGGCCTGGGAAAGCAGTAGAGGATGGCCCAAGGCCTTCGGTCCCAGCATCCGGGTGGGAGACCCAGAAGAGGCTCCCGGCTTTTAGACTTGAACCAGCTCAGCTCCGGCCATTGCAGCCACTTGAGGAGTGAACCAATAAATGGAAGATCTTTCTCTGCCTTTCCTTTTTCTGTAAAATCTGATTTTTCAATGCAAATAAATAAATCTTTGAAAAAAATGTAAATATGCCTCCCCAAATGTAATTATACACTTTAAATGGGTGACTCAAGCAGCATGTGAATTAACTCTCAATAGCAATGCTGAAAATAAGAATTAAGGTCAGCTTGGCATGGTAGCCTAGTGGCTAAAAGTCATCGCCTGGAATGCACCAGATTCCATGTGGGTGCCGGTTCTAATCCCAGCAGCCCCACTTCCCATCCAGCTCCATGCCTGGGGAAAGCAGTCAAGGATGGCCCAAGGCGTTGGGATTCTGCACCTGTGTGGGAGACCTAGAAGCAGCTCCGGGCTCCTGGCTTCGGCTAGGTGCAGCACCAGCATTGCAGTCATTTGAGGAATGAATCAATAGACAATCTTCCTCTCTGTATATCTGACTTTGCAATAAAAATAAACCTTTCAAAAAAAAAGGTCAAAGTTGGTCTCGAAATATTCAAATGGCTGTTAAATAGAAAAGAACATAGACTTGCTTAGAGTGACAGAGGAAAACTCTAATTTTAAAGCATAAATTAAGGAGGCAGCTATCCACTCAATAAAAGATAGAAACAATAGTCAAATCTGCCCAGAATCCTCAGGTGTTGCCTAGCAACGCAGGGAAGTATCCCTGGAGGTGTTCAGGATGACCCATGTGAGGAATACCCAGGGCTGTGTGAAAGCTCCAAAAGCATCCTGGCGGTGGAATATAAATTCTATCTACCTTTTTTCCCCCCCAAGTAAGGGTCTTTCAAGATTTATCTATTTTTGGGCCTGGCGGCGTGGCCTAGCAGCTAAAGTCCTCGCCTTGAACGTGCCAGGATCCCATATGGGCGCCGGTTCTCATCCTGGCAGCTCCACTTCCCATCCAGCTCCCTGCTTGTGGCCTGGGAAAGCAGTCAAGGATGGCCCAAAGCCCTGGGACCCTGCACCCATGTGGGAGACCCGGAAGAAGTTCCTGGCTCCTGGCTTTGGATCGGCGCAGCACCGGCCGTTGCACTCACTTAGGGAGTGAATCATTGGCCGGAAAATCTTCCTCTCTGTCTCTCCTCCTCTCTGTATATCTGACTTTGTAATAAAAATAAATAAATCTAAAAAAAAAAGTTATCTATTTTTATGTAAAAGAGTTCGAGAGAGAGAGAGGGAATGAGAATGAGAGAACTTCCATCTGCTGATTCACATCTCAATTGGCTAAGACAGCTGGAGCAGAGCTGGTCCAAAACTAGGAGCCTGGAGCCTGCTCCAGGTAACTCAGGCGGGTGTAGAGGCCAAAGGCCTTGGGCCATCTTCCTCCACTGCCTTCCCAGGCCCTTTGGGAGGGATCTAGATTGCAAGTGGAGCCACCAGGTCTCATGCCCATATGGGATGCTGGTGCCACAGGCAGAGGCTTAGCTTGATATTCCACAGTGTAGGCCCAATGAGGGCTCTATCTCACATTACATTCTCAAAGGGGATAATGAGGCCAAAAAAACATGGCGGCCGATGGAATTCTAACATTTCAAAGGAGACTGCACAGTACTAAAATGCCCTTTCAAATCTGAGACTGTAAGTTTCTATAGGCTGTGCTTCTATGTGTGAAAAGGGCATTTTTACTACACACCTGAATAACTTGTAATTCAAAACAGGTGATGTCCTTTACTATGTAAATGGAATCTAAAAGAGTGTCCATGGTGGGTAGGGAGGGTAGGGTGGGGGAAAAATGGAAATGTTGGGGCATAGCTGGTTTAGCTGCTGTGTGTGGCAGGTTTGAATCCCAAGTGCTCCACTTCTGATGCAGCTAATGCATCCAGGGAGGTGTTTGGGCCCCGGCAACAAGGGAACACAGAGTTCCACGACTCTGATTCCAGCCTGCAAACCCTTTTAAGTAGGTGAAAGTAAGGAAAAATTAAATCAATTAAAAAAACAGCCACACTACAGGAGCCGGTGCTGTGGCACAGCTGGCTAGGCCTCCCGCATCGGCATCGGTTTAGGTCTGGGTGATTTCCCTTCCAATCCAGATCCCTATTAATGGCCTGGGAGAGCAGCTGTTCCTGCACCTGCAGTGGGAGACCTGGAAGAGGTTCCTGACTTCAGACCAGCCCAGCTCCAGCCACTGAGGCCATTTAGGGAGTGAGCCAGCAGCTAGATCTGTTTCTCCTGTGTAAATTTACCTCTCAAGTAAGTCTTTCAAAAAATTAGTACAGAAGAATATTTTTTTCAATTACTTTGAACTAAAATTTGGGTAAAAAGGAAACAATGCTTAATGGAGACGGCTCCTCTTCTTTGCCAGCTATTCCTTACTCTCCTAATGAACTGCACATTATCAAACTCAAACCTTTGCGTATCAAAGAACATTATCAAGAAAGTGCAAAGAATACAACTGATAAAGATCTAATAACGAGAATAACAGCAATTCCTTACTCTCCTGAACATTACACACTCTGAATGCCTCAGGGCTCAATCCTCATTCCTTTCATAACGTAACTGAGAACACCTCGATCCCAATGTACAAGAACCTGAATCCTAACTTACACATCCCACAATTCACTCAGGACAGTTTCATGTGTGCAGTTTTGACAGAGAATGCAAACTCACATCCACCGGTTCACCCTCTAACTGCCTGCAGCCAGGGCCGGGAACTCAATCTGGGTGTACAACACAGGTGCTAGGGTCCCAAAGCTGAAATCATCACTAGCTGCTTTCCAAGGTCTGCATTTGCAGGAAGCAGGAATTGGGAACTGGAGTCAGGAATCAAACCCAGGCACTTCAATACAGGCCAAATGTCCACACCCTATTTTTAAAAACTAAGGTAAAATTCCATGACACAAAATTAGCCATTTTATCCCCCCCTAAAAAATCAAGAGGATACTGGTATATTTAAAATATTATACAATTGTCACCACTAGATAGCTTTGACACATTTCATCAACCAGAGGAAACCCTCTCCACATTAACACAATGTCCCCTACTCCCCTTTTGTTCCAGGCTGGATCAACCACTGACTTACTTTTGGTGTTCATGGACTTAGCTACTCTGAGTGTTTCAGAGAAACAGTCATACGTGGTTTTTGGTAACTGGTTTCCTTCACTTAGCTTGCTTTCAAGGTCAAGCATCACTCTAGCGTGTTATCAGCACTTTACTCCTTTTTTCAGACAGAATAACATGCCACTGTATTGACATGCTGTTTATCCATTTATGCACTAATGGACATTCAGGTTGTTTCCATCTCTTGACAACTGTGCTAGTGGTTCTAAAAACAGGCATATACTTACTTTTTGTTTGAACACCAATTTGTAATCTTTTGAATAAACATTTAGGAATAACTTTGTTGAGTCTTTTAGTTATTCCATGTTTGTCATTCCTTGTAGTTTTCATATAATTTCCCTAATAATTAATGATACACAGATGTTAACAATTTGTACCTTTTCTTTGTGAGAATATTTAAAGTCCTTGGCTCACTTTTAAATTGGGTTGTCTGTTTTTTTTAAATTGTCATAATTCTTTATATATTCTAGGTATTAGGTTATCAGCTGTATTTGTGAATTGTTTTTTTGGTAATATCCTTTTACGCACACAAGTATAATTTTAATGATGTTCAGTTCATCTATTTCTCCTTTTATTGCATGCTTTTTTTGTTTCACACCTAAGAACCTGGTGCCAAACCCAAGTTCATTAAAATTTACCCATAAAGACTTAAATGGTTTCAGCTCTCATATCTGCCACACTTCTAAGACACACATCTATTCTTGAATGTGTATCAGGCTTTAGAAACATCACAATTCCCAAGCCGAACTTTAGCATCTTTTTCCATCAAACCTGCTCTCTCCTCAGCTTTCCCTATCTCAGAAAATACTCAGGTTAAATTATTATTTTATTGGAAATGCAAAAGAGTTCCCATCTGATAGTTTACTCCTCAGATGCTGCCAATGACAGAAGCTGGGCCAGACCAAGCGGAGCAGGGATGGTAATATAACCCACCCAAGGGGCAGGACGCTGCATTAGCAGGAAACTGGGGTCAGGAACTGGAGCTGGATATCAAACTCAGGAACTTCGATGTGGGACACGAGCATCTTAGCCGTTAGGCTAGATGCTCACTTCTAAAAACCTCACCTCATCTCTGACCTCTTCCGCTCTGACCATCTACATGCAATTCATTTACCAAATCCTGTTGGCTTCAAACACCATCTCAAAGGTGACCATCTCTACCAATCTGGGTTACCGGGTCGTCCCGCTTCCACCTCTGCGGCCCTATAACCTAAGGAGGCAGCAGCGAGGAAGCCTGTCAAAGGCTCTCCGCTTGAAGGCCGTCATCTCAGAATAAAACAGTGCTTCCTTCCCATGGACTACAATCTACTACATACACCCTTTCCAGTCTTGGCAAGTCAACCTGTACTGTTTCCCACATGGCGGACCCCCCCTGCCTACCGGTCTTTGCTCAAATTCACCTTTTTTAGTGAGGCCTTCTCTGATTACCCACTTAGGTATCAACTGCACTCCCCCGGTTACTAGGCACCCCCACCCTCCAATCACTGCTGCATTCTTCTGTGTAGTACTGAGCACCTGACACTCTGAGTTTTACTTATCTGTTCCCCCTCACAAGAAAGTAATCTTCAAGGTAGCAGGTGTCTCAAGGTATTCATCAGTACCCTCCCCCACGCGGCTTCAGAGCAAAGCCTAGCACACAGTAGGCCTTCTATAATGCTCTGAGCTAATCAAGAGCATGTCATGTTATGATCAGCTGCTGATGTCTGCTCTCTATGGATTGCGTTTTCTGCAAGAAGTGACACCATCTCATTCACCTCCGAATCTCCAAGGACTTAACTTTCATGCTCAGCACATAGTAGGCATTTTACAAAAACCCACGAGCGACGGAGGGCACATCCCCAATGGCTCGCACACAGACCCCTACGCTATCCGGCCCTAATTACGAGCTGTCAGGGCAGCGGTCCCTCACCCGTATCCCCCGAGAACCAAGTGCGGAATCCAAACGGCGCGGTGACAAGCTGGGCAAGCGGGAACACACACAGCGCGCGGGGCGGTGGCAGAGCCGCGGTGACTACCACCTCGGCGTCCAAGTCCCCCTTCTGACAGCCCAGGAGAGAGAGCGCCCCGTGCCGCCCCAGCTGCAGAGCACCTCGGCGGTGCGGGCCCCGCGGCCACACGTGCTCCCGACCGGCCCGGGCGAGGCGGACGGCGGCGCGCGGTGCCCCCCTCGGGGTCCGAGCCTGCCCCGGGTCGGCGGGAGCTGGGCCGCCGCCGCTTACCTGGCCGGATCCCGCGGGAACCTGAAGAAGGCCAGGTCGGACTGCGTGCTCTTCCTCGTGCAGTTAGGGGCAGCGCAGAAGTTCGGCATCGTCGCCCGCCCGCCGGCCGGCCCGCTGCTCCCCTCCCCGCCTCCTCAGGGCAGCCCAGCCCGCCCGTCGGGGCCGGGGAGGGGAGCCAGGCCGGCCGGCCGGCTCGGCCAGGCCGGCGCGCGGGGGATGGGCGGCGACCGAGGAGCCGCGAGGGGCAGGAGGGGCGCCGCGGTCCGAGGCCGGGCTGGGGACGCGGCTCCACAGTGCTGTGAGCGGCCTGGAGGATTTACCGCCGCAGCCGCCGCTGCTGCACCTCCCGCCCGCCCGGGACGCTGCCGCCTCCTTCCCACAATGCACCCCGGCGCCCGGGGGTGCCCTCTCTTCCCTCAGCCTTTCCTCCGCCGCCTGCGTCGCAGCGGGCACGCGCAAGGAAGTGCGCCTGCGGGGTGTGGACTGCCGCAGTGCGCCTGCGCACAGCCTGCCGGGGCGGGGGAGGGAGACGGAAGTGCGCGTGCGCGGCTGCCCCCGCGGGCTCTGAACTGGTGACTTTCCCGGTTGGTTTGGCTTTTCTTGCCCGGAGGGTGCTGATTTCAGGCAAACGTGCACGTTACGCCACCGTAGCGTCTCTGTTCTGGGGCTTGTGTCGGAAATCGCCCTAGACCTTGAAAGGCCGCAGAATGGGGATAACGTTGTGACTGGCGAGCTCCCGGCGGAGATTTAGTGTTTCAGCTCCGCAGTCCCTCGTCGGCCCCGGCAGCTTCTGAGAACCGGCCGCCACCGCAAGCTGGGGGCGCCGCCTCAGTGAAGCGGTCTCCAATTGGAGCGACATGGCAGCTCTGTAGAGAATGATCCCTCTGGTTTCCCCTCACAGTCGTGGCCTGTTAGCATCCCCGAGTACCAGAATGAGTGATCGCTATTTGGAACAAAGGGTTAGTATAAAATTTTGCGTGAGGCTGAACAAGTCTGCAAGCGAGACCCACCATCTTCTGCAACAAGCTTACGGGAACGAAGTCATGTCTGGGGCTCGCGTTTTTGACTGGCACGGAAGATTTAAGGAAGGGCGGGAAGATGTTCGAGACGACGTCCGGAGTGGTCGCCCCGTCACCCACCAGACCAAGGAAAGCATCCAGAAGATCAAGGACTTGGTTTGTTCCAACAGGCAGTTAACCGTGAGGATGATGGCGGAAGAATTAAATTTAGACAAGGAAACAGACTCATTCTGAAAGAGAACTTGAACATGAGGAAAGTTTCTGCGAAAATTTTTTCGGATATTTTAAAGGATGATCCCAAACCTCGCGAACTTGGCATGCAGTCTGCTTTTCCAAAGGAAACTCGAAAAAATGGCTCATACGTGAGGGAAAGGTAGCGAGTTGTCACATGTGAGGAAAAGGTAGCAAGGAAGCGTGGCATGGTCTCCACCAGGAAGCTGGTTAGGAAATGTCAGGGGCTGTGTCCCGGTGTCCCCTTCCCTGCCAGCCAGCTTCTGAAGGCTTCTCTCCAACAAGCCTTCCCAGCTGGGCAGCTCAGGATGGATTCGCAGTGTGGTGAAGGATGTCTAAAGTGGCTCAACCTGAGTGAAGCAGCTGCCTCACTGGGAAGCACCTCCATCTGATGGGTCTTCTCTGTCACTCCTCCCTGCAGGTCTTCATTCTCCCTGCTTCCTCTTCGCTGGACCATTGGACTGTCTTCCTTACTTTTCAACCACAATCTGGAAGAACCTTAGGCTGTTGACTTCCAGAACATGCTTGCTGTTACATTCTTTTGCTTAACGAGTGGGGATCTCTACATCGCCCAAAACATAAGTTGTGGTGATAGTCCTGTTGCTTTGTTATGGACACTCTGCCCCTGGGATATTGTGCCAGTGAGAAATGGGCCCAGAATCTCCTGCAGTTTATCCCTCTGTGCCCAGGGAGGCATGCTCTGCCCAGAGGACCCCCAAAAGAAGCCCTAGAGTTTGAGCCTGCCTCCTGGTCAGGGCCCTGAGGTATGGTACAGAAGCCAATGGTGTACTGGCCTAGTGAGCAGTGCTGAGCAGAAGGGCTGAAGTGGCCCAAATCATTCAGTGAGAGCCCCTAAGAACTCAGATTGACCACCAGTATTGACCTAGAAGACCTACTCCTGCCAGAAGGATTACATTTGTGTCATCGTGGTTTTGTGCTTTGGATCCCCACTTATTTGGGAATTCCCTTTGCTGTAAAAGAAGAATCTGGTTCTGTAACAAAGAAACCAGTAGACCTGGTGCTAGGCTGTAATGTGTGGAAAGGAAGACCTGGTGTCTCTAGACTAAATTAAAGGAGTCTGCCAGTTGCCATACAGCAGCCAATATTGCCAGGCATATTTTGAGTACCTACTGTTTTTAGAACTGTGGAATCACAATCATCAGAGACTAATAGGCTGGGCCAAATGGTTTTTTAAAGTGGGTCTTTGAGGAAGTGGGAGACAGAGGGTTATGAAATTAGAGAAAGCTTCCCAGCAGGTGAAACAGCATGAGGCTTTGAAACTGCATAAGCAGAAAATAATGACACCGTCAGCTAAAATAGCAAAGTGCAAAGGGGAAGATAGTGGTGTTGCAGAAGATGAGCAATTTGAGATAACTTGCTGCTTCTCCAAGTCTATGCCAATGGCTTGCAAATTGCTTCCCCTGTGTCTGTAAGTAAGTTACTAACCCACTTATTTGATTATGATTGTTCTATAGAACCCTATGGGGACAGTCTACAAATTCCAGTTCTTACCTCTTTCATTTTTGCATTTCTCCCAGGATTTGTAGAATGGCACTTTTCTGAAGTAAGATTTTTTAAGTAAGTTTAACACTTTTCCATGTAAGACCACACAAACCGGAAACATCTCAAAATTTAGTAGGAATGCAGGAGGAAGTGGAGGAGGTAACAGCATTCACAGTGTTAGCCAATGTCTGTGATTTACCCAAGGAGTTTTACATATAATGTCTCCTGTTATTTAACTTTTAGGGAAATAATGCCATCTCCAATGGTAATATTGGTTGATAGTAAAAGCCTAGCAAAAGTTAAACATTATTATCTTTAGGACTGCTCGTTACCTATCTTTATTACATCAAAAACATTGCAGGTTCCTTGTACCTGTCAGTTTGGAAGTATCTTGACATCTAGACTTTGTCCCATAAGTAAAAGAAAAAATTAAAAACAAACAACAGCTTATAGATTTCAATCTATTTTAGGAATCCTAGGCATTCCAATTTGGGACCTTTATGTGTTCCAAAGCGAGTAAGACCCTGCACTTTGGGAACACCTGTAACACCTGTAACATCTTTATTGCTGAGTCTCATTAATGCTAGCTTAAGCCTGGTGGCCAGTGTTGTACAGATTTGTATGTTCCTGGGCTCAGGCCGAGATTTCAGAACAATACCTGCAGGCATTATGTCCAGTCTTATACAATGCAGGGATTCTGAGAGAGCTGATTTCTAGACTGGAGTTTAGCAATGCTGCTGGAAGATAGGTACTAGAGCAACACTGGCCCAAACAGGATTTGCAGGCAGCAACTGAGAGCAGGTCATTAGGAATGTGAATTCAAGCTGTCCTAAATGGCTATAATGAGAAGGACCTAATATATTTTCTTAGATCATGACATTACCTATTTGTAAGCTTTTCAAAGATGACAGGATGCCTCAGATTTAGGGAAAATAAAATTACTTGCCTAACAGTTGTTGGGAGCAAACTGTTCTTACTTGGTTGTTCAGAATTGCTGAACCTAGGATTAGACCATGTGCTCCTAAGAGAACAGGAGGGTTCTTACAGAACAGGGCTCCTTATGTGCCTACCTGTAACATCCGTGTTGCTGCTGACATCAATTCTCTGACCTTCTGACCATCTGGTCCTATAGCATCCTAGATGCGGCCGTACATCACACCACAGACTGCTGCTGTTGGCTCTTCTCAAATGCCTCTGAGTGTCTTCGCTGCCAGTTTGCTCCTGTCTCCTGGGTGCTAGGTTTTCTTGTCTTCGACTCTAGCTCCAATTGCTGCTTCTGTCCACTGTGATATGCTGAGCTTTGAGTTGCCCTTTTAGTCATGATTTATAATTTGACTTGAAACCTCTCCCTGGTGTTGGGTTCCTTCTAGACCCCACTTGAGCCACTGAGTAAGGTTATTGTCTTCTGTAGCCCTAGCCCCTATGTTACCTTCCTGTCTGCAGAAGTGAGGTAAAATGATCTGGGGAAGGGATGGTTCTTGTTCTTATTTTTCATAAGACATGTTTTGGAGAAAAAACCCTCTCTCCTACCTTAGCCATCATTCGTTTCACCCCCAAAAGGCAAGAAATATTACCAGTTTCCCAAGGAAGCAATTTAGTAACTTTCTGTACTGAGAGTCACAAAACTTTTTCAGAGCTGGAGTATATCCAAATCGCTTACTTCTAAGAACTGGCTCTTTCCTGACCTCACTGCCTGTCTCTTTGGTCCTATAGGAGGAAAACTGGTCATCTTGCATCCTTGACCATTATTCTCAAGTTTCCTACAGTCAGTCCTTGCAGCCCTTTGGTTTTCCAGTTGATCTTCCCTACCTTGACTCTCATCTCATTTCCATTTGAAATCCATATGGAATTTGTAGAGCACAGCTGCGATTTAATAGACATCTGCTAGGACATTATTTCCTCATTGATTTTGATCTAATTCTCCCTTCCATTGCCCCTTCCCACTTTGTCTGTAACAATGATCCGAAAGAGAGAGAGGAAAAAAACAAAGGAACTTCATAAAAATCTTTAACTTAGAAAAATACATGGGTGATTCTGCAGTCTTGTGAATTCTACAGTAAGTTCTCACTGACATGTCATTATTTGGAAAGAATATGTACATGGGGCCTATTTTCCAGAACCTTTCTTTCAGATCCATTTCTTGCATAAATCCAGACTTGCCATTGGAGATGCTTGGATTAAAGCTAAATGCTGCATAACTTGAGACATCATGGTTAGGGATCTGCCACCATATCACATGCACTGCTCAGCTTGCCTGCTAGTTGCAGACGTGATCACATGAGCATATCTCTGGGCTCCCTGGTGTTGGTGTTGCCAGGGTCCACACCGCTCAGCATGCCTTTCTTGCTGAACTGTTCATTACCCTGTGCTCTCCAACAACTTCTTCAGTCACTTCAGCTTTCCCAGATTTCTGCCAGGTTTTCATTTCCTATCCAAAGCAATCCTCCTTTATTTACGACTTCTGTAAAGTAAATCTCTGCTTACCAGACCCATGCAAATACTGTCCAAATGGTATCACTGTTTTGCCATTATTAATAGCCAAAACCAAAACCCCAGAATGGGGAGCTTTGTTGCCTCCAGGGACCCACTTGGGACTAGTGCAGGGATCAGCACACTCCTGTAAAGTTGGTGTAGGCCTGTTGGGCTGTGTGGCCTCATTCACAACCACTCAGCCTTTTAGTGCCAAAGCAGACATAGCTAATACATAAATAGGTGAACATGGGCATGTTCCAATACAATTTTATAATTGGATACTAGAAGGTGAATTTTTCACAGCTGGAAAAATATTATTTTGATAATTTTTCCAACCATTAAATATAAAAAAGCATTCTTAACTTGCAAGCTTAATAAAAACTGACAGTGGGTCAGATTTGGCCCATGGGCCATAGTTTGCCAATCTCGGTCTGATATACATAAAATGTGTATATATAAAAATGACAGGGCCCGGCTTAGTGGCGCAGTGGTTAAGGTCCTCGCCTTGCTCTCCCGGGATCCCATATGGGCACCAGTTCTATCCCAGCAGCCCCACTTCCCTTCCAGCTCCCTGCCTGTGGCCCGGGAAAGCAGTCGAGGACAGCCCAAAGCTTTGGGACCCTGCACCCACGTGGGAGACCCGGAAGAGGCTCCTGGCTTCGGATCGGCATAGTATCGGCCATTGCACTCACTTGGGGAGTGAATCATCGGACGGAAGATCTTCCTCTCTGTCTCTCCTCTCTGTATATCCGCCTTTCCAATAAAAAAATAATAATAATAAAAATAAATCTTTTTAAAAAAATGACATCCTTTTCCATCAATAATATTTGTAATGGTAAATTAATCTGGCAGTGTCACACAATGTAGAAACTGTCGAATATTGGAGGGACTGTTTGGGGAGCCACTAAACGACCATATTCCGTATCACAGAATAAACTTCATATTGTTTTGGATTAAAAATGATATCACACCAATTATCACCTATATATCAGAACCAATTTGGCAATGGTTGCCAATTGCAACCAGCAGCAATAGAATGAACTAATAGTAGTTTCAAAAATGCCTTGCTTATGTGCAGCATATAAATAAGCTTTTTTTGAAGATTCATTTATTTGAAAGGCGTTCAGAGAAGATCTTCTATTTGTTGGCTCACTCTTTAAACGGCTGTATTGGGCAAGGTTGGGCCAGACTAAAGCCAAGAGCCAGAAACTTCTACCAGGTCTCCCACATGGGTACAGAGACCCAAGCAGTTGGGCTGTCCTCTGATGCTTTCCCGGACGCATTAGCAGAGAGCTGGATGAAAAGTGGAACAGTCAGTACTTGAACTGTTGTGCATATAGAATGCCAGTCATGGCAGGAAATGGCTTTACCAGCTATGCCATGCCACCATCCTCTTGAATAAATTTGTTATTACGTATTAAAGAGTCTAGAGGAGACAAAACACTGAATTGTGTTAGTTTCATGCTTGTAACAAAAATTATACTTGTGTATGTATGTGTATATGTACATTTTGTACACACACATACACACAGATAATAGATGTGACCTTTGCCACATGTTTTTGCCATGGTCATGATGCCTATTCAGCTTGCAGATATATATCCATATATGCACATATGAATGCTGATATAGGTAAGCACATTTATTTTTCTTTTAAAGGGAACTTGATTGGGTCAGCAACATTTAGTCTGATTTTCTGAAATTGTGACAGAATCTCAAAGAATTGAACAGATCTTTACAAGAGTGTCTGACCCAGCCAATCATACTTAAACCAGGAAAACCAAGCGCTGCAACTGCTGAAAGACCATAGGAAAAAAGATTCTGTGTTAATTCACTCAACAAATGTTTATTGAGTGACAGTGCCAAGCACTGTCCTGTGTCTGGTGGACAAAACAGACGCAGGTCTTAGATTTGACAGCTTGACATCTAATTATGTCACCCTTCACTCTGCAAAACTTCTGTTCCATGTGTTCACACTAATTCGTTGTTAACTGCCTACCTAGAAATAGGTATGACCTTTGCCACATGCCTTTGTGCTGTGGTCATGATGCCTACCCAGCTGCATTCATAATTCGAGAACTGTATGTTCTGCTCTAAGTTTTATTATCCTTTAGGCAGACCTATATTGGTAGAAAAACATTCTGGCAATGTTGGAAGTGTAGATTGGCAACAGTTTTCTGAAAAAGCAATTTGGCAGTATCTATTAGGAGCTTTAAAAATGTTTATATCCTCTGATCCTCTAATTCCATTTCTGGGACTCCATCCTAAAGAAATAGTCTAAAATGTGGGCAGCATTTATACTTAACAATCCAAAAGTCCAACAGTAGAAAATTGGTTAAATAAATTACAGTGTGACTAAACAATGGGCTATTATGCAGTCACATTGATGGTTATGAAGAGTATGGTAGCACACAGCAAAATGCTTGTAAGGCTAAGTATAAAGAGTGATACTTAAAGTTGTATGTCTAAATCTCATAAGTTTTTTTTTAAATGACTTGAAAGAATATCTTAACTCCGAGTAGTTGGATTATAAATGTTTTTAAATTTTTCTAGGTTTTATGCTTTTAAAAAAATATTTCTCTACAATACTATTACATTTATTATGAGAAACAACAGTATATAAGTTGCCAATGGAAAGGCTGGGGCCACCTCATCAGTTTGGTCTGTGAGCAGCTGTCTGGCTAGGCCAACCTGGAGGCTATGTGATGGATAACTGTGTTGGAGGCAGGAATGGGACATAGGAACGGAAAGGACCTGGCCCAGAAGAGAAGAGGAGGTGGTCAGAGTCCCTGTCAAGGACCTTAGGTTTTCATGAGGAGACACCTTGAGTGAAACTGTTGCTGTTAGTAGTCCACACTAGATTTGTATATGTTATATATGCTCCATAATCCCATATTATGGAACAGCAATGCATGGATTTTTTAAAAGATTTATTTATTTTTATTACAAAGTCAGACAGAAAGGAGGCGAGACAGAGAGGAAGATCTTCTGTCCAATGATTCACTGCCCAAGTGACCACAACGGCTGATGCTCTGCTGATCCAAAGCCAAGAGCCAGGCCTCTCACGTTGGTGCAGGGTCCCATGACTTTGGGCCATCCTCGACTGCTTTCCCAGGCCACAAACAGGGAGCAGGATGGGAAATGGAGCTGCTGGGATTAGAACCGGCGCCCATATAGGATCCCGGCATGTTCAAGGCAAGGACTTTAGCTGCTAGGCCACTACGCTGGGCCCTCAATGCATGGATTTCAAACATTTATGCCGAAACCAGCTTATCTTTGAATTCCGCTTCCATGAACTTTTTGAAGTACCCTTGCATTCTAGCAAATGGTGAAGCTTGTGAAATATACTCTTCCAGGTGAAATGAACTTCCTTTGGATTTCATTCTCACATTCTCTTGTACAAAATACATTTTATTAAAATGGATTTTCTGAAGACTCCTTGAGCCTTCCATGTGATTCCTTTAGAATAGGAATGACTTCCAGTATGCCCCGTCTCCCTCTTCCAGCGTGAGACACTTAGGCCACGTGGACAGTCCCTACAGTATTTGATGTCTTATATATAGAACACTACACACATCCTGTTAATTGTCTTACTTCATCAAACCCTTTTTTTAAGATCTAATTTTTGTTTCAAAGGCAGAATTACAGAGAGAAGGAAAGACAGAGTCTCCATTCTCTAGTTCACTCCCCAAATGGCCACAATTGCAGGAGCTTTTCAGGATCTTCCATGTGGGTGCAGTAATCCAAGGACCGAGGTTCCTGCCACTATCCTCCCAGGCCATATGCAGAGAGCTGGATCACAAGTGGAGCAAGTAGCCCTGGGCACAAACCAGTGCCCATATGGAATCCCTGCACTGCAAGTGAAGGCTCAATCTACTATGCCACAACACCGTCTCTTCATAAAACTCAAGGGTTGCAAATGTTATTCTGTTGGTGCCCATAATCACTACTTTTTATTTATGTCTGAAGAATAATTGCCAGTCTTAAGTGAGAAGTTATATAGCTAATGCCTAACTATAAATTAAACTATTGTGTTGCGATAATACACATTTAATTCTTGTTTTAGTAAAATAGTTATCACTAAGATGTTAAATACATATATCCTTGATGAAATGCTAAGCCTTCCGTGAGTATCCAAGGAAAAATACAAGTTTTGTAGGCTTATACAGAGTCTTCAAAAAGTTCATGGTAATGTGTAAAATGGCCAAATTTTGTATGGATTTCAGATTTTTGAACCAGAATAAATTCATTTTTCTGTGTTTTTCACAGTTTTTTAAATTAATTAATTTTATATATTTTTGACAATCTTTACATAGTGAATTGGGGTAAAAAGGTTCAAGGGCTATAGGGAAGTGGGTAAGACTATTACTTCCATATTGTTTCCTTCATGTTTAAAGGGGGGTATTAAGGGAGAAGGCCCACCCCATTTCCCACCCTCCCCAGGTCCCACATGTAGGGTATGCTCTGAGGTTCTTCCTCAAGTGGTTTTGATAGTTCACCAGTTATAAATTGCTGCCAGTCTTGCCACTCCAAGCACTATGAGGTCTTTGAAGAATCCACTGATTGACATAGTCCATCACAGAGTCTCCGTTTGCCCTGTATTTCGCTGCCAACACATAGCTGAGATGGTTGATTGACTTGTTCTGTCTTCTCTTTTCTTGGTTAGGGTTCTGAGTCCAGCATTTTGATTGGGGAAATCTCCAAAGAAACTTTGTCTGAGGTGTTCTCAGACCAGATTCTTGTATGTACTAGCCAGTACAGGGCCCAGCTCAGTCCATGGCCCCGATCAGCTGGTGGTTGCTATCGCTGGGTTGATTCTGTTTTCAGCCCCAACTTGCACTGGAACCAATGGGTGTTGCAGTCCAGCTTGGTTCTGCCCAGCACATTCTCAGCCCTCGCATAAACAAGTGGGAGCTGCAGCCTAGTTGGAGCGACCCA